ATCTTGGGGGGAAGGTGAGCAGCGTACCAAAACCAGGTCATTACGACCTTTATCTGACCTTTACCTTAACCTTGACCATATTTTCCTTCCGCTATATAACTCGGCCCCTAATTGACCTAGCGCTACCAATTCTGGTATACTTACACATCTTGGGGAGAAGGTGTGTCGCGTACCAAAACCAGGTCATTACGACCTTTATCTGACCTTTACCTTAACCTTGACCATATTTTCCTTCTGCTCTTTAACTCGGCCCCTATTGACCTAGCGCTACCAAACTTGGTATACTTACACATCTTGGGGAGAAGGTGTGTCGCGTACCAAAACCAGATCACTACGACTTTTATTTGACCTTTACTTTGACCTTGATCATATTTCCCTTCTGCTCTTTAACTCGGCCCCTATTGACCTAGCGCTACCAAACTTGGTATACTTACACATCTTGGGGAGAAGGTGTGTCGCGTACCAACACCAGGTCACTGCGACTTATTTGACCTTGACCTTGATCATATTTTCCTTCCGCTATATAACTCGGCCCCTAATTGACCTAGCGCTACCAAACTTGGTATACTTACACATCTTGGGGAGAAGGTGAGCAGCGTACCAAAACCAGGGCACTACGACCTTTATTTGACCGTTACCTTGACCTTGATCATATTTCCTTTCCGATCTATAACTATGCCCCTAATTGACCTAGCGTTACCAAACTTGGTATACTTGCACATCTTGGGGAGAAGGTGCGCAGCGTACCAAAACCAGGTCACTACGACCTTTATTTGACCTTTACCTTGATCTTGACCTTCATCATATTTTCCTTCCGCTCTATAACTCGGCCCCTAATTGACCTAGCGCTACCAAACTTGGTATACTTACACATCTTGGGGAGAAGGTGTGTCGCGTACCAAAACCCCTAAGGCAACCAATTTTAACATACTTGCACATCTCAGGCAGATGAGTTCTGTAACAAACCTTTGTTTTTGTGACTTATTTAACTTTACCTACCTTCTACGTCCTTACAGAGATATTTCATTCATACTTAACTAGATCACAGGGGATACATGTAGTTGGCGACAACTGCCCTTTCTAGTTTTACTATATTGTTCGATGTGAAGATACACTCGTGACGCATACATAGCCCATAGCAAGCAATTAATGTCAGGAACACTAATATCAAATCGACCAGGTTTTTTGGATTTTTAACTAGTTGAGAAACAATCTTATCCGGTAAGAATTTGACGATACGTTTAGTCCCGTTAGTTCTTACTTTGAATGTAAAAGAATGGCTACAAAAATTTTACAAATTTTACCATAGAAAATTCGTGACGTAGTCAATTTAAGCTTGAAATTACTTTTGTTTCCACGACAGAGGCTGCGAGTCTGGATGATTGGGATGAGGACCTTGACATGACGGATGCTGAGCTCAGCCTGGCCCAGGAGGCTGCACAACAGCTGCTGGCCTCTGGTGGTGTTAACGAGGTAAGTGAAGATCTAGCTCATCATCTCGGGAAAGCTCCTTTACAGTGGCCAGGGGCGTAGCTACCGTAACGCAGATATGCAGTTACGTACACCAAGCCTTTTATTTTTATTGGAGAGAGAGAGAGAGAGAAAGAGATAGAGATAGAGAGAGAGAGAGAGAGAAGAGAGAGAGAGGAGGAAGAGAGAGAAGAGAGAGAAGAGAAGAGAGAGAGAGGAGAGAGAGAGAGAGAGAGAGAGAGAGAGAGAGAGAGAGAGAGAGAGAGAGAAGAAGTAGAGTA